AGGAAAGGAAGGAGGAACAAGCAGATCGATTCAAATCCCGTTTGCTTATTTCTTATACTTAGCTCAGCTCCAGATTGCCGGCCGCTCCTGCTCTGCCGCCGATGTGTGGTTTTCGCGCTCAGCATCTATACTTGTTGGACTTGGTTTGAGGCTTCGATGCTCTGTACCGGGGTGGCTGATGATTCGCCTCTCTAGAAAGCGTTAGAAAGTGCGTCCGTCATCCGCCGAGACGACACTGCCATGATGAGCCAGTGAGCAAGCTCTCATAGCGCCTGATAGGCAGGCAACATCCTGCGTGCAGCGCATGCGTGTACTGCAGGGTGGCCTACCCCGAGTCTCGCAGGCGCCGAGCTCCCGTAAGTTGCCGAATGAATCTGACAAAACTCGGCAAGCGCCTGTTTTTTTTTAAGCAGATGATGATACGCAGTTATCATTCCAGCCTGTACTCTCGCAAAGTTCAAAGTTCATCGGTCAAAGCGTAAAGTTCAAATTTTTCTGTGGACGACCCCCAAGGTGCCGCGCCGGGTGGTCAGCAACAATTGGCATTATACCCACCTGCACCCGCGTGCACACGTGCGTTTGGTGCAGAGTCTAACTGCCGAAGTGAGCGAGACAAATCAGCCGGCCAACCAAAAACTCAAGAGGAGTTTACCAATAACACAGCAAATATATTTCGGGGAAGTTCCCGGTTGAATCCGGGAAGTAATTTTCCGGATGCTATTTTTTGTCATATCTATGCAAGTTATAACATTTGGAGCAACCGGAAAATGTACTTCCCGAATCCAACCGGGAAGTTCCCGCATAAATGTTTGCTGTGAAGATTATACGCGTTCTTGCGCCGCTATTTATTTCCGTCGAGACGAGTGTCCGAGCCCTTCTCCCTCCCTTCGCGCTGCACATGTGAGCTTCTTGCAGCGAGGCTGGAGCCGCTGCTCGAGGTGCTGGAGCGGGCGCGAGGGAGCGGCCGGCCGGTGGCGTCAGCGGCAAAGCTCTTTAGCAGCGCGCCGGCTCGCAGTGTGCAAAGAAAGCACGGGGGGCAAAGAAAGGTGGCCGTGCGCTCTAGTGTCCTTGTGGGGATGTGTGCGTGTGTATGTGTGTGGTATTTTTGTATCGTAAAGGAGGCGACTGGGTGCTCCTCCTGCTCTCCCTCCTCTTTCTCTCCCTCTCCCTCGCCCTCTTCTCTCCCTCGTCCCCATCCTCCTCTGCTCTCCTCTCCCCATCTCTCCCTCCCCCTCTCCCACCCCCAGCCCCTTCACGCACAGCTGCGTCCTCTTCCGCTCGCCGTTTGCTCCAAATTCTTTCTCGTGCCTCCGCTGGCTGCTCTGGCCTGGCTGGCGCTGCTGGTCGGATCGCTACACTGTGTTTAGCCGTGCTTCCAATTCCTTTGGCCTTTGGCGCCCTGGGTCGGCCCCTTGAATGTGACGGGG